TTGGTCATTTTGGCCCTGAGTCAATTCGGGGCCAAATTGAATCTGGAAAGATGTAGACTGTTGTTCAACAAGTCAAAATCAGAGTATTAGAGATGATCAAAGGGTTTGGAGGGGGCTCCAAGATCAAATTCCACTAGGTGAAGGGTCCAGTGGCATTGTTTGTAAATATTTGAAGGTTTTGCAACATTTGGAATTGGATTACGTTTATGAGGTTAGAGTCCTCCAAATGAGCTCAAATTTAGAGGCTTGACACTAGAGATATGTCACATCAATATGCAACTGACAGACCCTGAATCAAATGTCAATTGACTGGGTTTCAAGGTGATGGAAAAATCACCCAGAAAGGGTTTTGGAACCTAAGTCTTTAACCCTGGGATTCTGGGTTTGGATTGAGTTAAGATCTGGATTGGGCATAAGGGCTAGGAACTAGGAAGATCCTAGGATCTAGAACTCAGGGAGGAGTTAAGAGTGACCTCATATAAAAATAAGGTCAATACAATTGCTTTAGCATCATAGTTACTAAGTAGACAATGCAAAATTTTGTTAAGTTTCTTAGAGTTTGAAAGATCTCTACTTAGAGAATGCTGGGATGTCACTATCTCGGTAAATATAGTGTATATGTCTAAGATAGTTTTATTAGGTTTCATGTGAAAGAGTTTGCAGTCATACAATAGAATGTTCAAGCTAGATTATTTTACTTCACTAGTACCTTCATAAGTAATGCATAATCTATCCCAGATTTCCTTCCTAGTAGTACATTTACAGACTCTCAAATAATCTTCAAATTTTAATGTAGAGAAAAAATAGTTTAAATATTTAAAATTCAGTAGAGCTAAGTCACTATCCTCATTGCTCCATTGATTAAACAATACTTTAGTTTTGATGCCATTAACAAAATGAAAGGATGTGGAATAACCTTCTTGCACAAAATCAGATGCAAAAATCAATATATTACAAGAAAGCAAACATGCAAATTTTCTAAAAATCAAATGGTATATTGTCAAACAAAGGTGTATGAGTTATAGAATAACCCTGTATGTCATTTTAATCTCCAAAATGTGGAATTTAAACTTTTCTCAAGGATTTTTAAATCACAATTCTGAGACCAGCTCTGATACTAATTAAAATTTAATGGAGGGTGTTAAGCCTCGTTTAACTGTTCTTATGCACACCAACTGGGGGAGGGGGAGGGGGAGTGAATTGGTTCTTTAAAAAATTTACCCCTTTAAAAGTACTTCAAACTAATGAGTGCAAGAGGAAGAACTTAATAATAACCAGTGTAGCTCTTCTTTGATTGATTTTCTTAACATATATCAATGACAAAAAATATTTTTCTTTGTTTTCCTTTATCAATTTTCATTTCGTACATGAGTTAAAACTAAAATCAATGTGATAACACAACTCTCATATTTTCAACAATAATAAGTATGCAAGAAAATAGAAAAGCAGAAGGTAAAGTAGAACGAGCACACCAGAATTTTATAGTGATTTGGTCAACCTTGACCTACGTCCACTCCATAGAGTACTTCTCTCCATGTATTTCACTAAATCTTTAGTTTCTACACTTTATCCCCCACAGTAAGGCAGAGAAGCCCTTACAAAAATCTTTTCCACCAACTTGGTATGGTAGAGTATTGAAATCTTTTTTCAATCACCTTTTGAAGGTAGAGAACCTGAATCTTTTTTAACCTCTAGGTGAAGGCAGAGAACCTGAATCTTTTTCACTTCTTGGTGAAGGAAAAGAACCTTGAATATCTTCAGCCTTCAAGTTCTACTTCTCAGAGCCACCCAAGAAAAAAAAGCATGAAACTTGGAGGAACAAAGGAAGAAGCTTGCTTGGAGCAACGTGTGGAATCCCCTCTCACTATTTCTCCCTCACACACAACCTCTCCTTCTCCAAGCTCTCCAAGATCTCGAACAAATCTGTCTTAGAAAACTCAGCATCCAAATGACCACATAAAATTTTATTAAGAGATCATAATTAAAAAGGGGTTCGAAACCCTAAATTTTCAATTCTTCCTCTATTGATTATATATTACGATATTAGATTATATAATACGATTAGTTTAATTCATCTTGTCGGAGTTGTACGAACAACAATGTCCTGTACGATTAGTTCAAATACTTGAACTATCATCTAGGCTGATAACATGGTTTGTCCAGTGTGATTACTTCAATCAAATAGGATTTTGTCTTGTATGATATCTGGCAATTAATTATCATCCAGGGAGGTGATCAGGTCATACAATACAATTAGTTCAATCATACGATACAATCTAATTAGATCTATTAAACCATATTCAATTCCTTAATTATAGGATAGATTATGCAAGATTTAAGATCATTGTACATTACAATTTATATCTTACAATATGATTAGTTCAAAATTATGATTTCAAATATAGCCTAATTTATAATTTGCAGAAGAAATCTTATTTTTAATTGATCTCCATGTATGAATGATATCGTACAATATGACTAGTATAAAATATAATAATTATGCTAATTAGTCATTATGATCATTTTCTAAATAACTGATTGTATAGTATGATCATGATCATATGGTACGATTAGTCTATAATATTTCTTATTTAAATTTTCTTACTCCTTTATGTGTGAGTACGGTCGCCAAGCAGTATACACATTTTGACATCATAAGACTCAAGATATATAAAATTAAAGAAATAAAAAAAACACAACTATTTCAACACATTCTATTCTACCTAGTTTTGATTCCTAAATGATATTGAGTAGTGTATGATGTACCTGAAATATTAGTTCACATAGAAATGAACATACAATGCAAATGCTAGGAGAAGTGAAAATTCAATCAATAATGTTTATTATTATCAAAATCATAAGCTCTCGATCATGTATTGCAAAAAAGATGTCTTGGAATAGTTTGTAATACCCCATTGATGAATGGAATACTTTGCTATATAAGTGGTCTTCATTTACTCGATGCTTGGTGATATCAAGTAGTTTTCCTATCTTTAGTGAGTTAGTCACTTATCTTCATATTTTCCAAGGTTGTGAAAACCGGACCGGATAAAGAACCGGAAGAAGGAGAGGTTCAAGGTTCGACCGGTTCGACCGGTCGAACCGGGGTCGAACCGGATGATGTAATAAATACTAATATTATTAAAAATTTATAACATTAATAGAATAATTACGTGAATTTAACATCAAATAATATAATTATAAGAATTTAAATTATATAATTTTAATATATTATCTCTCAATATAATTAAATTAAATTAAAATGATGAATATATCATAATATAATTATAATTTATAAAATATTTAGTTAATTATATTATATTTATGAATATCTAATAATTTAACTATAATTAATTTTTATATTTCATTATAATTATAATAAATGAGATTCTTATAATATACATTATAACAAATTAAAAATTTTAATATAATATATAAATTTATAATATTAAATTTAAAAATGTGTAATAAGAATAATATTTAATATAATATATAAATTTATATTATTAATTTATAAATATACATCATAACTAATTTATAATACAAAATTTAAAAAGGTTGAATCGGTTGAACCGGCCAGTCCGGTCCGATTTTTAAAACCTGGATATTTTGTTTTAATTCATTTGTTACTCCCCTTAAATACCTACTATAACTCTTCAAATATGTTCCTTCACTTCATAATCATCTTCCATGTCCAATAAAATAACAATTAAAATTATAAAACCATTCCAAATACTTTTACATAACTCTGAACCAAATAAGGAACAATAGGACCTAGTCTTGTTCCCTACATCTTGATACCCGCTTCGCTCTAACAAACTTTACCATCAATACCAAATCATAAGTTCACATCTTAAGCTTGCTACCTTTTTTTTTCCAAATTTTTATTGCACATGTAACCCAATCCCTAAAGTAGTTTTGAAAATTGACTAGTATTAGCTCAAACTAGAGTAGCCTTAGCATTCCTACTATTGTTCCACTTTAATTACCTCACCATTCCACCATGAACACTAAAACTCTTCTTTAAACATTAAAATAGAGATCTTTTGTCTATTATAGCCATTAATATCACCAAATAGGATATCCACCACAATTATATTTGGTATTAGAGAAAATATTGGAAAGATAAAATATGGTAAAAACTTTTTGGCAACAAAAGGGAAATTTTATTATGATGGATTTGCCTCTGAAAGCTTGCGAATTACGCAATTAGTTTAAGGTAAGTGAATCCCTTCTTATGATAAATAAATTTTATATAAATAGTAAGGATATCAAGTATATTGCTTGCAAGCCCATGGTGATAATATCAAAATCCAACAATAATAACTTTATTAATCAAATTGACTCTTAAACTAGAGGCCTTACTCATTGGGTAATCAAATTGTTCCATTCGCTTGGGGCACTTGTCGATTGTAGTCGCCAAAGGCACTCATTGGAGGTGTCACAGAGCCACATTGTATATTGCTATCCACATGTAGCCATTAATTTTATCCACATATTTTTAGTAGTCAAATAATATATACATTCTTATTATCCTCTAATATGATAAATTTAAGGTTAAACAACAATTAAAAAAATCACATAGGACTATCTTCTTATTTGTCAATACGCAAAATTTATTATTTGGAGGATTTACATAAATACCACTTTATTTAATGTTATTTACATATCTAACATCAAAAAATTTTAATATTACATGACTACCACTCATATAAATTTTAATAACAAATATATCACACATATATTTCATTCTTACCATCCATACTACCGTATAAACTTTAATATTTCATTTAATGTATTTATATTTATTTTATGGGTCATAGATATGTAATATTAAAATTTTAGATGCTAAATATATAAATAATATAAAATAAAGTGATGTGTATGTAAATCCCTTATTATTATTATTATTACTATTACTATTATTATTATTATTATTATTATTATTATTATTATTATTATTTTAATCTTATACTTATTTAGGACCTACGGTTAGCGAATGAAGATCTTCGGGCTACCGCGTTCATCTTGTACCGCGAACGCAGTGTGGGAACGATGGAGCTCACCAGGAAATGGTGGAAGAGCCGTTGTCTCAGCCGTGGTGGCAGAGACGACGAGGATAGGTTCTTTCTTCCCACGATTGACGACTTCCAACCTTTGGACAGCCAAGGTTAAATTTTCTGTTCCTAGGACTACCTTCTTCTCCGTTACCTTTTAAACTTGTGGGTTCTTGTTCAGAGCAGGAAGAGATGGTTAGATCTTTCGAGAGAGCGCACGAACAGGATAACCATCTATGGAGGGTAAGGCATAAATTTTCAAACTATTTGGGTTATTACATCTGGATTCTATGTTTTTGTAACTATTACTCGTTTATGTTGCTGTTTTAGGGCGTGTTTGCTGTTTTCCTTCTTGGATATGTGGTGTTCTTGATATATTCGATCTTCCAACAAGCTTGGAATCCATGGGAACTTGTAAGGAATTCTAGGGATTTTTTAGGGGGGGTGTTTATATATAAATTTGGGGTTCTTGGTAGTGTGATTTTTATTTTCTTTTTACTGTAATCATTTAAATCATTGAACTCTATTCTCGAAACAGCTCCAGTTGCATGAATTACTTTACTACATATTTAGGCAAGTTTAATGAAACTTCATCTAAACTCTTTCTGCTGCTTAATTTGAGATTTCAACCAGCAGAGCCATGTGTCTTCTTATTTGTTTCTGTCGTAGCTAATGCACTGATCATTCTGCATCTAATATATACAGATTTTTGGATTAGGTGCAGTTAAACATGATTTATTTAAAATTCCTAAAAAATGTAAATAGTTATGTATCAATGCCTATATTTATAATTAGGGGCATCTTTATTAATATTGAGAAAGTGATGATAGATTGTTGATGCTTATCACTACTCACTTTGGTTCTGACACCTGCCAACTTATGGGAGCAGCGTTATCATGCATACTTTATGGAGGATGTTCCTAGCTGGATGCTCATTTCTGCAGGTTTGTGTTGAGTTTAATTTCTCAGTATGCACATATGTAAATTCCGGTTGTGTTATTTTTTGGAACATTTGTTTTAGTTCAAGTTTGTTTCTTTGGAAGGGAGTGAACTTGGCTTGATGTTGAAACTGTGCTTTTGTTTTGCCCTTATGGTTTCCCTAGTAATTTGAAATTATCTAAACTTGATCTTCAATATCCATTATTATTATTATTATTATTATTATTTATAGATTTGCATGAAGCATTTTATAAGCTGAATAAAGGAACCAAAACAACAAGAGCAAGAAGAAAAGAAATGCAAGAGGCTAATCCTCTCTTTACAAAAGAAGAGAGAAAAGATTCACTAATGAAAAAGAAAATGCAAAAACGATAAAGCGTGGCACAAAATAAGCCCACAAACATAAGTAAGAAAAAACCGTTATCTCTTTCGAACATCTTACCTTCTTTAACTACCAATATGTAAGCTGAAGCAATGTTTTGGACAACATTTGGTGGAAACTATTCCTTCGGTACCTATTCATCCAGAATCTGATAAGGATCAGTTGGAGTTGGTATTCAAGTGTTCTGGTAAATCAGTTGCTGCATTAACCTTCAAGAAAGTATATGAAGACTGCAAGGGTGATGATGATTGGCGCTGGATGAAGAAGTTGAAATTAAGGTCGCAGATTGAATTGTTTTGATGGCGTTTGAGTAAGAATGCAATTCCCTCAAATTGGTTCCTTCATTACAGAAGATTAGATGAGTTTGATGAATGCCCGAGAGGATGTGAAGCTGTTGAAAATGCAGAAGATCAAACTAGTATTGAAGCGGCTTGCTACATGGGAATTTTTTATTCATGCGATTACCTCTCTGGAAGATTGTAATATGGTATTGCGGCACCTTGCTAGTATGAATCCTTTTATTGGAAATGTGTATTGTTCAGTTGTGTTCTTTTGTTGGAAAAGCAGGAATAAGATTATTCATGGTGGTTCTGAAGACAGCTGCTCATACATTGCAACAAATTAAATTAGTCATGCAACTGCCTCTTTTAAATCAAATCTGATTTGGGAGAACTGGGATGCTAATCAGCAATGTAAGCTGTTTCAACCTAGTTGGCGTCCTCCACCTCCTGGTTGGATTGAGGTAAATGTGGATGATTCTTTAATTAGCACAAACAAGCTGGTATAGGTGGAGTTTTCATAGATTGTAATGGACGATTCTTAGGTGCTTTCAGATTCAGCTGCCTCCATTGGGACAGTCCGCAAGTTGAGATCTTAGCAATTCTTGCTTTGAGGAATTATATTCAAGATTGGATGTTTGATGCTAATGGTCTTGTTATTGAAGGATAACTACAACGTCATCAAGTTTTTTCAAAACTTATTGAATAAGCCAGTTCTTTATAACACTATTGTTGTTGGCATGCTTTACGTTGGATGTCGACTATCCAACACAACCCTCCACTTTTCTCATCCAGGACTTGAGACCTAACAACAGTAGTGTTATATAGAATTAGCACTAAACACTTTAAAAAAATTGCATGTCATACTTAACTTCAAACTACTATTTAGTAGTAATTGACATACATTTAGATATTATAGCAAACTCGATGTCCATAAGAACCACACTTATTTCATTTTTTTGGTTTATTATAAATTTTTGCAGATTTTGTATTTTTCATTTGATTTTCTAGTTAATAATGGAGATCACTACTGTCTCACTCATCATTATTAATCATTGCAGCATTCACTCAAAAATATGCAAATCAAAAGGGGTGTAATTTTTGCAATATTCTTTTCCTTGAAATGAACCATGACATTAAAGTTAGGAAACTGGCACCCTAGCCACTGAAATGAGATAGGATCATATAAACCCCCTCTTAAATGAGCCAAGACATTGAAATTACGAAATAATGTTTATGTATGAATCTATTTTTTTTCCAGTTGAATGACTATCTTTTGCTAGAAAGAGAAAAAATAAAAGATTACTCTTCATTGAATTGTTGTTTAGTGTGTGTGTATATATATATATATATAAAGTAGGGAATAAAAAAGAAATACAAATTACTCGTAGTAGTGAGAAAATATTATGATAATAAGTGATACAAATTTTTGTTATATATGATTTTGCAACATCAACATCAAGCCTTTATCTCACTCTATGGGGTCGGCTACATAAATTCTTTTTCTTCATTGTCCTGTTAAAAGTCAAATTTTCATTTAAATCTAATAAAAAAGGTCATTTCTAATATTTTATAACTAAGTCTTTTTAGATCTGCCTCTACTTCTCTTAACATAGCTTAAATCTAACACATCTACTCTCCTAACTAGATCATCAGAAGACCGACGTTTTTTGTGACCAAACAATGTAAGGCGACTCTCTTTAATCTTATATGCCGCTAGAACTACTCCAACCTTTGCACGTATATGCTTGTTTCACATTCTATCTTTAAGAGTAAAGACACTCATCCACTTGAGCATCCTCATCTCTGCAATACTTAATTTAATTGTATGATTTTCTTTTGATGGCCAACATTCTTCACCATAAAGCATTACAGATCACACCACTATCTTATAGAATTTTTTCTTAAGTTTGAGGAGTACCTTTTTATCACACAGAAAACCCGATGCATTCCTCCACTTCAACCATTCAATTTGAATTCTACTAATAATATCCCTATCTATTTAACCATTGTTCTGGAAAATAGACCTGAGATATCTAAAACTTATACTCTACAACAAATATCATCTTATGTAGTGGGATAAAGGCTTGTTGTTGTTGTTGTTGTTGTTATTGTTGTAGAGATACCTTGTCCAGTTGATGAGTGTTGTACTAACGCAATTTGGAATTGGCTCCAACTGAGCTTTATTTGTTTCTTATGTAGAGTTGTCTACCCCCTGATTGGATTATTATTATAATGTCATTATTTATCTGATACATAATCTTAACTAAGACATCATGATCTTCCTACTAACTCTTAAGAGAAACCATCTTATGATGATGCCTATCTTCTGTTGCTTCTTTGCATCTTTCTTCTCCATTAATTTCCCTTGAAGTGCTTAATCATGTTTGAAGACTTTTATGCTAATGCATCAGTTTGCGTTGCACAGATTTGGTTGCTATCCTAGCTTGCTTATTGGCAGTGAAAGGAATGCTCGATGGTTCAATATTTCATCAGAGGTTGATATGGCATTCATTTTATGTAGGGCTGGTGCTTGCTGTATTTTGGTCTTATTACATGCTTAGGTAAATCCTCTTCCCCAGTCTACCCCTAAACTTATTAGTGGCTTTTAATTCTGGGTTCCGACTCATGTAATTTTTAATTGCTCAGCTGTTTTTCGTATAATCCTTAATTCGCTAATCCATCCTTATTAAAGCAGATTGCCGAGGTTCCGCTGGGATGTACTTTGGCTTCCCTTTGGACCTTTAAGGTATTTTTGCTGGTTGATTTATCCAAAGCATGATTTTGTTTTATATTACATTTTTGTATCATGTTTTAGATAATATGAAGGTTTGTTTGCTGACATCCCTAGATCTGTCTGATACTTTTCAGTGCGGCTACTATATGCCTCTATGTTGACAACATACTGAGGTCTTCCAGGGAAGAGATAAGAACTCTTCAAGACTATATGTACGAGTATAAAAGAAGGTGAACATACTTTCAAATAGCATCAGCTGTAATGCCATGTCCTCTAAACTTATATTTGTGACTTTTAAAGACTCTCAATGCATAAATGTTTCATATATTTTTTTTAATTATCCGTTGACAGCCCATGAAATGTGAGCTTGGGACATAAAAGCGTATATTTGATTCATCTTATAAGCAAGTTCTGTTAATGAAGCAGGCTTCTTCTTCTGCGTATTTTACTAAAACTTTCAGATCAGATAATCCATACTTTTAGTGATTAAACACCTAAGTGCTGCCCTTGTCCAATGTAATATTCGGTGTGCACTATTACGCTCCTATTCATCAGAAAACATCCATGAACAAAAAATTCTCTTCATCTTCTGGGTTGAGAAATGTACATTTAATATAATCTCACAAATTATTGTAAATTCTACCAAATTCAAACTTAATAAATCTCTATATTTAAATGAAGGATCTTATCTAAAGAAAGAATAAAAAGAGAGGGAGTAGAGAGACAAAGTTAATGCTTCTCTCAAAATTTATCTCGATTATGCTATTAAACCTTAGTAGAGGTTTTGTTTATTTATTTTGTCATAGCAATTGGCATGAAGTTTAAAAATGTATCTCAACTTCATATTTATAAGATTAGAAAGATTTCAAGAGATGTTATGCTTAAAGATTTAATAAAATAAATATATAATTCGATTATTAATCACATAAAAGTAGGATTTTAGCGGGTATATGTAGATGGCCATATTTGTTGAGATCTTGAAACTATCATTGGCAATTGCCTCTGGTATGCACCCGATGAATATTTCTAGCAAGTGCCTCCATCGGCTAGTGATTCTTTTGGTTGAGGTGCTAGTTGAATTTGTGAAGTCATCATTGTTGTGTTGATGAGTATCTTCTGCCTATAAAGGAATGACCTTCTGTTCAAGGTTATTTTTTTATAGCAAGTGCCTTAATTAGGCCAATGTTTTTTAGGTGAGTGGCTTAATTGACAAGTTCTTCTAAGGTGAGTATCTTTGAGGTGCATGCCTCCTAGTTGGGACAAGTGTGATTGATGCGAATCCCCTATGATCAGGGCAAGTATCTCCATGGTCAAACCACTCTAATATGAGCTCATCTGACCTCCTTTAGTTCCTCAATGAGCATGCCTAAAAAAACTATTAGTTCATTAGTTACACAAAAAGCATGACTAAAAACTCATAATTCTGATATCACGTATTGAATCCATCCTTTACGACATCCGCCTCTATTATCTTCACCTGATATTATTTAGATCTCAGATAATTTTAGAAAATTTGGAAGCTCGTACAGGATGATCAAATAGATCATTTATCATTGGCAAATATATTTATTCTTGGTTGTCACCTTATTCAAATACCTATAATCTATACAAATATGCATCATACCAACCTTCTTCTTTATAATTAGTATAAGTGCTCCCAACAGAGACATACTAGGATGAACAAAAGCTTTGTCAACTAATTATTAAAGTTATATATTCAACTCTTGAATTTCCTTAAAGGCCATCCTATATGGAGCTTTGTATATCAAGGCCGTGCATAAAAATACATCAATATAGAACTTGATCTCCTTATCAGGTAGAAAACTTACTAGGTCCTCTAGAAATGTATCAGGAAATTCTCAAACTACTAGGACATAAATCTATATTCTATGCATTTAACCTGAACAAATGTTAGAGCAATACAACCCTTTCTCCATAACCTATCCACTTACACAACAAAAATAGAAATGACATAACACATCTAACTCCCTAGCATATACAACTCTCACTACCCAAAAATGAAGTAACCTCTTTTTCAAAAATCAATTCAAGTTTCATATGACTCAACTAATCTATTACTCATAATAACATCAAATTAAAAAATAGGCAATAATATAAGACTCGATCACCACTTTTTACTTGATATTTCAATATCATAAAAATATACTGTACTGCTACCATGCCATCTTTAGTCGGTAAAGTAACATATAAGAAATAAGATAATAATGCAGAAGATAGCAACAACAAATCAAAATATTTCTAAAAAATAAATGTGTGACTATCTCCAGATTTGAACAACATGCAAAAGGCATATCAAAAATATTGGTCATACCCATAACCATATTCGGAGCATCTCGAGCCTCATGTTGAATCAAACTGTACAAATATGTTTAAACTGGAGATAGAGTAATAGAACTACTAAGCTTTCTCTGACTACTCTAGACAGACTTCCTGCCATAGAACCAAAATCACTATATCTTCTAGATAGTCTTCCTGCCATCTTAAGAATAATAAGTTTAAACTTAAATAATAAATCCTAAAATAATTAAATCTCAACACATTAAGATTTCAAAACAAAATAAATTTCAAAAAAACTTAAGCAACTGCTGGGCTTTGTGTATGATGAATGAATGAATTACTTTAATATAAACTTTTTATCAAACTCGTAGGGAGTATTGAATCTCATCTCCATTTTCATATTTATTTCAAAATCAAAATGTGAAAGTCTATGAGATTATTTTTCATAAAAAAATGGACTAAAATAATGAACCTTCTAAAGATAATGCCATTTGGAAACATTTTGGAAGATGACCATTGCTGAAGAATTTGAAAATTCTCATAAAAAGATTTACATTTTTTTAGGAGTAGGATTTGACTTGTAATTAAGGACATTACTTGATTGTCTATTTATGCAAATGGCGTTATAATTAAGTGGTGCATGCCACAATATACTGGACTTTACTTTTATTATTTTATTTCATGTGGTTAGGTGAATAATTTATTTACTTTGATTGTGTAATAGAAATAATTACTTTCATATGCTTTCTTTTTGTATGTTATTTTACCTAAATAATTTTATTAGGCTCTTAAGAAATAAATTTCTTCTACTCATAACCAATAAAATGGCTCTAATAGTATAGAAAGATAACTAGTTTAAAAAAGGTAAATTGAATTTGGTCAAGTTCATAGCATATTTTGTCTTTATTAATTCCATGTTTAGGCACCACTTCACCCATGGTCATAGATAAACCACTTGACCCAGAAGGGTATAACTTTTTTCTTATGGAGGTCTACTTTCTAAGATAAAATTTATTTTCTAAATCTTTTTAAAAGTTTCATAAAAATCATACTAACATTTGTAGAAAATTAACATGCATTGCATTAATAACTAACCCAAAATAAAATATTAATTGCATTAAGAATTAGAAACATAAAACTCCCTTCATATGTTTAGGATCATTTAGGATCTTTAGATGTCAATCCCAAATTCTTAATTAATAATAGTTTATCCTATCTTACAAATCAATTTGGTAGGTTTAGCTCATATTCCACTCCAAGCAAAATTGTAAGTCGAAAAGTGTAAGACTTTTTCAAGCCCTTTAGAGGTTCAGAGATATAAGCTCCACCTCACTTTTATATTTCTTTATATTAGGTTTTAACTACTATCCTATAGTGTTCCCCTTAGTTTTAGGATTTGAGATTGATTTGTATATCATAAATTCTCACTTCTTAGACATCTTTCTAATCTTATGATTAAGAATATAAGTCATAAATGTCTAATAAATGTCAAGTCAAATAAATAAAATCTTAATTTTAAAATATTAAAGCTCAACATATGATACTATGGAGTGATTTTGAGATTCTTAAAATCCTAGGGCTCCTTATTTTTTAGTCTTGGGCCTCCAGATAAAATTGTTCCAAATTTAAAAAATCTTAAACTAAATTCTAAATTTCAACTAAATCTTTTATATATTAACAAACATATTTCTATTAAATATTATTGTAGCTTGACGTGTTTGATAAGATAAAGTTTACAAATTTAAATCTTCTAAATAAAAAATCCAAGTTTAAAATCCTTCCCTACCCTCACTAAATATTGTACTTACATACTTTTTTTTTGTAGATTAATGTGTGCAACACAATAGGTATTTCATTCCGGGAACTCATGCATGTGATTTTGATGATAATAAATATTATTAGAATTTCATTTTATATTTTCTTATATTATTACTGGATATTTTCCTTGTGCACACTAGCATTTCATGTACAACATACACCATGGCACAAAGGATCAACATTGAAGACTGTGTAGAATTAGTTTGATATTTTTCCAAAAGTTTGTGTTTTTGTTTATTAGTTTTATATTTCTTGAGTCAAAAGTTTTATAAAAGGCGTATGCCAACTTAGCAGCTGTGCACACGCACATTAAGGAGTGAATACTAAAATCTTGAATATCTGTAGATCATATTGTACGATACACATTGTACTATACGATTTATTGAAAAGAAATTAATTATAATGGCTTATCAAGTAATTAATGTTTTTAACTAATCATACTGTATGAACAAGATTGTGTAAGATGATCAGTTTAAATCGAAACACTAGCCGCTAATCAAGTTTAGGTAAGTATTTTAATTTTTTGATTTTGAACTGATCATACTGTATAATATTTCAAATTTTATCTAAATTAATCCTCATGATTAATCAATAAAATCAATGTTTAATTAACATGACAAATCGTACAATATGATGTCGATCATACTGGACAATTGATAGAGATGAAATTTGATCGTCTTAGACAAACCTTGATTTATTAAACTAATAATACAGTATGATTTCAATCAGACTGGATGATTGGTAGAGACGATATTTGATTATCTTGGAGATCATCATGTACGATTTTAAGAAGAATGAACTAATCAATTCATATGATCCAAGTATCATAGTATACAATTAATATAATATATTTGAATTGTTGAAACTCGTTCACTATGAATTAGGTTGTTAAACCTAAGCTTATGTCCCACGGCTAATCAAGAGGGGGGGGGGGGTAAATTGGTAATTAAAAATTAATCCCACTTTTTAATTTTTAAACCGAAAAATAATCTTTAATGAGTTTTGTAGAAATAGATTTTTCAACCACGATTTTTAAAAGTAAAAACACAAAAATAAAAAGCAGCAGAAAAATAAATACACGAGGTTTATAGTGGTTCGGTCAAAATCAGACCTACATCTACTCCCCGCAGGCACCCTCCGAGTATTGCACTAATACCAATAGTGACTCTCCTTTTGCACCCACAGCAAGGCGGAGAAGCCTTTTATAAACACTCTTTCTACCATTATCCAGTGCGGCAGAGAACCGTCGTCCTTTTACACTATCCCCAGTGTTGGCAGAGAATCGTCGTTCTTTTACACTATCCCC